TTTGTCTTGCCCATTCACCCTCTGAATTGCACACATACACAATCCATGTCTCAAGATTTAAAAATCCTTATTTAACCTGTCTCCTCCCCTTCATCTACACTGATTGAAGTGGATTTAACAGGTGACATCAATAAGGGATCATAGCTTTCACCTGGATTTACCTGATCAGTCTATGTCATGGAGTGAGCAGGTGTTCCTAATGTTTTGTACACTCAGTTTATTATAGAGGCTATTTATACAGAACATTTGTATAAAACCCATATAAACTGTATTTATAATTATATGACAACATTTTAGGTTGACAATAATTCTATTACACAATTTCTAATATATCACCAGCCTTACTTGTATTTTCAGGATTATGTAAAATCAGGATTATGTTTCTACTGCCATTCATTCCAATTAGACTGGTTCGGATTTCTCTCTGACCAATATGGCTGCCCTTTTCAGCCCATTCTGAAACTTTGAGGGTTTATCACATAGCCCCATTAGTAATTTAATAGGATCTCTATGCCTCCATCTGTATGCATTTGCTCTCTGACCCAGTCACCACGTAATGGTGACACAACTTCTGCAAGGCCTGCATCAACAAACACTGGTATAGTACTGACCAGTACCAGTGTCCACTCTGTCAGGAGAGATTCCACGGAAGACCCAAGCTATACATGGCAACACAGCAACACAGCATTCAGAGATGTTGTTGATCAATTTAAAGCATGACGCCCAGGGCCTCTGTCTGTGTCTGTGTCTGTGTCTGGCAGTGTCTGGTGGAGGATGACCCTGGTGATTTGCTTGGCCTTTGTGGTGTATATGATGTATCCACAGACTCATCTGGAGCCGGATCAGAGTGGAATGTATTCGCTAACCGATCCAACGGGGGAGTGTAAAAGACGGGACAAACCTCTAGGGGAATTGGGAGAGAAGATTCTGAAGAAATTGAATGGAGAAATTCAGCAGATGATCCAGGAGCGACTGGAGAAAGTTGGGTAGGTCAAATACACAGTGGAACTCAGCAAGAGAGATGCAGAAAGAGAGTGAGGCATCAGCTCATAGATATTGAGATGAATCAGAGAGCAGTAGAGAGGCTCACTGAAGGGCCCATTAAAGAGCTGGAGTAGGAAATATCTGAGCTGCAGAGGAGCACTGAGCTGCAGCTGCCACACACTGAGGACCACCTCCACCTCCTACAGAGTGAGTCTCCCATCCGAGGACTGTTCTGAGATCAGTGTTCACAGTGATCTGTTTGTGGGATCTGTGAGAGGATTTCTGTCCGGGCTGATGGAGAAACTCAGTTCATTGACTGATGTTGAGCTGAGGGGGATGCAGCAGTGTGCAGTGGATGTGACTCGACCCTGATACTGCACATCCGTCTCTCGTCCTGTCCGAAGATAGGAAACAAGTGAGATTTGGAGACAAGACAGAATCTCCCTGACAACCCAGAGAGGTTTGATCCTGTAGTCTGTGTACTAGGAAAGGAGGTCGAATTTGATCCACAGGAGTGTATTGTGCCATATCTCAACGTATTGCTGTACTCATGAGTGGCATGGTTTTCCATGTTTGAAGCAGGCCTATAGGCCTATTTGTTTGGCAAGATAGCTGTGCATGGCTGCATCTGACTGTAGCTCAATTGGTAGAGCACGGCGCTTGTAACGCCAGGGTAGTGGGTTCGATCCCCGGGACCACCCATACGTAAAAATGTATGCACACATGACTGTAAGTCGCTTTGGATAAAAGCGTCTGCTGAATGGCATATTATAGTAGGCTGTAGGCTATGTTTTAGTTATTTCGATCTTCATTCGCCTTTTGTTTACTGTTAATGTAATTAGCCTAAAAATAGATTGTGTCATGACTTTATCGATCTGATATTTTGTTTACTAGGCCTACATGGTACCGCTGTTTTGTTCTGTTCGCATTCATTCGTTCGTTCGCAGTTGTGTCAGTATTCTAAGCCAAACTGCTATTCAGTATTTTTGTTTGCATGCATGAATAACCAGGCAACTACTTTCAGCATTTAGTTTGCATTATTTTTGGTAAGACAACTGCATTCACATAGGATGTTTGTAATAGGTGAATTACCCTATCTATCTTGTAGCCTATATTCATTACCAAAACGGCCTCGCTTCAGTATGTTGGGCGCTGTCCATTGTGCTAATACAGCACACCACTCAATCAATGGTCTCGGAGTCTCGACATTGGAACATTATGTTTATTGTGATATACAGTGGGGAAAAAAAGTATTTAGTCAGCCACCAATTGTGCAAGTTCTCCCACTTAAAAAGATGAGAGAGGCCTGTAATTTTCATCATAGGTACACGTCAACTATGACAGACAAATTGAGAAAAGAAAATCCAGAAAATCACATTGTAGGATTTTTAATGAATTTATTTGCAAATTATGGTGGAAAATAAGTATTTGGTCACCTACAAACAAGCAAGATTTCTGGCTCTCACAGACCTGTAACTTCTTCTTTAAGAGGCTCCTCTGTCCTCCACTCGTTACCTGTATTAATGGCACCTGTTTGAACTTGTTATCAGTATAAAAGACACCTGTCCACAACCTCAAACAGTCACACTCCAAGCTCCACTATGGCCAAGACCAAAGAGCTGTCAAAGGACACCAGAAACAAAAGTGTAGACCTGCACCAGGCTGGGAAGACTGAATCTGCAATAGGTAAGCAGCTTGGTTTGAAGAAATCAACTGTGGGAGCAATTATTAGGAAATGGAAGACATACAAGACCACTGATAATCTCCCTCGATCTGGGGCTCCACGCAAGATCTCACCCCGTGGGGTCAAAATGATCACAAGAACGGTGAGCAAAAATCCCAGAACTACACGGGGGGACCTAGTGAATGACCTGCAGAGAGCTGGGACCAAAGTAACAAAGCCTACCATCAGTAACACACTACACCGCCAGGGACTCAAATCCTGCAGTGCTAGACGTGTCCCCCTGCTTAAGCCAGTACATGTCCAGGCCCGTCTGAAGTTTGCTAGAGTGCATCCAGAAGAGGATTGGGAGAATGTCATATGGTCAGATGAAACCAAAATATAACTTTTTGGTAAAAACTCAACTCGTCGTGTTTGGAGGACAAAGAATGCTGAGTTGCATCCAAAGAACACCATACCTACTGTGAAGCATGGGAGTGAAAACATCATACTTTGGGGCTGTTTTTCTGCAAAGGGACCAGGACGACTGATCCGTGTAAAGGAAAGAATGAATGGGGCCATGTATAGTGAGATTTTGAGTGAAAACCTCCTTCCATCAGAAAGGGCATTGAAGATGAAACGTGGCTGGGTCTTTCAGCATGACAATGATCCCAAACACACCGCCCGGGCAACGAAGGAGTGGCTTCGTAAGAAGCATTTCAAGGTCCTGGAGTCTCCAGATCTCAACCCCATAGAAAATCTTTGGATTGAGTTGAAAGTCCGTGTTGCCCAGCGACAGCCCCAAAACATCACTGCTCTAGAGGAGATCTGCATGGAGGAATGGGCCAAAATACCAGCAACAGTGTGTGAAAACCTTGTGAAGACTTACAGAAAACGTTTGACCTGTGTCATTGCCAACAAAGGGTATATAACAAAGTATTGAGAAACTTTTGTTATTGACCAAATACTTATTTTCCACCATAATTTGCAAATAAATTCATTAAAAATCCTACAATGTGATTTTCTGGATTTTCTTTCCTCATTTTGTCTGTCATAGTTGACGTGTACCTATGATGAAAATTACAGGCCTCTCTCATCTTTTTAAGTGGGAGAACTTGCACAATTGGTGGCTGACTAAATACTTTTTTTCCCCACTGTAGCGTGATATAAGCAGAATTCAATATAATTCCAATACAAGAACCCCCCAAAATTGTGCCCCCTCACTGATTTCAACTGCCCCCTTAGTCACTTTATCCTAGCACCGGGTCTGTTATCAGCTGATAATCAGCGGTTGTCAAACACACATGGGTTTGAAAAGATGATTCTCTTCCTCAATAGCATGCAGCAAATTTGTACTAGATTAAAAGCCTAAACTAATATGATATCCTGGCAATGAAAGCATATTCAATTTTCTAAATTGCATATACTATAAAACGTTCTATTTTCGCATAAATACCTACTATTTAGAACGCAGGTAGCGGTATTCGGACACGGACTGTTATTTTCTGAAATGAGATACAGTACATTTGTATAATGATTTACCATGGGGTTTTTCATTGTTATAATGATTCATATGCGATATGGTTTTTATTGAAACTCCAATGTAATTTTTTCTTTCTTTCTTTCTTTCTTTCTTTCTTTCTTTCTTTCTTTCTTTCTTTCTTTCTTTCTTTCTTTCTTTCTTTCTTTCTTTCTTTCTATTTATCTTTCTCTCTGGCCGTGTCCGAAATCTGTCTTGCCTACTACTTACTACAACTACATACTGTGTACTAATCATATTACATGCTATTTAGAACATACTTTTTAGTAAAAATGTATGCAGTAAGAAACAAATATCAACATATTAGGCTCACCCATACTGAAAATGCCTAATCTAATGCACAATTCTTTATTCATTTTGGTACAGCCCGTCCCCTTCCGAAATGTGTTCTCAATAACCTACATGGTCAAAATAAAGGTTATGAAAATAAAACAAACATTGGTTCATTCCAGATGGCACAGGTCACTTCTGAAGAGCAGGTTTGTATTTTGAATACCTTTGAGATTCGCTACATCCCTTCCTTTTCCCGCATTGCGGAGACCATTGGTCATTCGGTGTCATGATGCAAAAAGGTCCCCCAGGGCTCAGCATGGAAATAGACTGGTCGTGTATTGCGGTGAAATTTGTAATTTACGCCTTCCTGTGGCCCGTAATGCTAATATTTGTATTTGATCAGGAACAGCATAAGAGTGGGGGTAGAGGTGGGGAGAGAGCAGCGTGGTATAACAAGATATTAGACCCATAAATAGAAATTGGTAGGAGATTAAATACAACATTTGGTGGGTATTTTGACACTTTATTTAGACAAGGAAGAAATCAGAGGGGATACAGGCAGATGGGAGACATAGATTGAAGGGGGGATTGAAGCCCAGTCTCTGGTGGGAAAAGGAGCATACATGTGTCTGGCAGCGTTACTGCTAGCTAGACCACAGGCTTTTGACTTTGTTTTTTTACTTCTAGTAACCTATGTGTTATGTTTGGGGCAAACACACGTCACTGTGTTGTGTTGGATTTGCCCCAAACATAACGCTTTGTATTCAGCTGTTTTACTTTTGTGCCTTATTGCAAACAGGATACATATTTTGGAATATTTGTATTCCGTACGGCTTCCTTCTTTTCACTGTCATTTAGGTTAGTATTGTGGAGTAACTACAATGTTGTTGATCCATCCTCAGTTTTCTCCTATCACAGCCATTAAACTCTATAACTGTTTTAAAGTTACCATTGGCCTCATGGTGAATTCCCTGAGCGGTTTCTTTCCTCTAAAGCAACTGAGTTAGGAAGGACGCCTGTATCGTTGTAGTGACTGGGTGTATTGATACACCATCCAAAGTGTAATTAATAACTTCACCATGCTCGAAGCCAAAGGGATATTCATTTTTTTTACCCATCTAACAATAGGTGCCCTTCTTTGCGAGGCATTGGAAAACCTCCCCGGTCTTTGTGGTTGAATCTGTGTTTGAAATTCACTGCTCGACTGAGGGACCTTACAGATACAGTGGGGAAAAATAGTATTTAGTCAGCCACCAATTGTGCAAGTTCTCCCACTTAAAAAGATGAGAGAGGCCTGTAATTTTCATCATAGGTATACGTCAACTATGACAGACAAATTGAGATTTTTCTTTCCAGAAAATAAGTATTTGGTCACCTACAAACAAGCAAGATTTCTGTCTCTCACAGACCTGTAACTTCTTCTTTAAGAGGCTCCTCTGTCCTCCACTCGTTACCTGTATTAATGGCACCTGTTTGAACTTGTTATCAGCATAAAAGACACCTGTCCACAACCTCAAACAGTCACACTCCAAACTCCACTATGGCCAAGACCAAAGAGCTGTCAAAGGACACCAGAAACAAAATTGTAGACCTGCACCAGGCTGGGAAGACTGAATCTGCACTAGGTAAGCAGCTTGGTTTGAAGAAATCAACTGTGGGAGCAATTATTAGGAAATGGAAGACATACAAGACCACTGATAATCTCCCTCGATCTGGGGCTCCATGCAAGATCTCACCCCGTGGGGTCAAAATGATCACAAGAACGGTGAGCAAAAATCCCAGAACCACACGGGGGGACCTAGTGAATGACCTGCAGAGAGCTGGGACCAAAGTAACAAAGCCTACCATCAGTAACACACTACAGTGCCAGACGTGTCCCCCTGCTTAAGCCAGTACATGTCCAGGCCCGTCTGAAGTTTGCTAGAGTGCATTTGGATGATCCAGAAGAGGATTGGGAGAATGTCATATGGTCAGATGAAACCAAAATATAACTTTTTGGTAAAAACTCAACTCGTCGTGTTTGGAGGACAAAGAATGCTGAGTTGCATCCAAAGAACACCATACCTACTGTGAAGCATGGGGGTGGAAACATCATGCTTTGGGGCTGTTTTTCTGCAAAGGGACCAGGACGACTGATCCGTGTAAAGGAAAGAATGAATGGGGCCATGTATCGTGAGATTTTGAGTGAAAACCTCCTTCCATCAGCAAGGGCATTGAAGATGAAACGTGGCTGGGTCTTTCAGCATGACAATGAACCCAAACACACCGCCCGGGCAACGAAGGAGTGGCTTCGTAAGAAGCATTTCAAGGTCCTGGAGTGGCCTAGCCAGTCTCCAGATCTCAACCCCATAGAAAATCTTTGGAGGGAGTTGAAAGTCTGTGTTGCCCAGCGACAGCCCCAAAACATCACTGCTCTAGAGGAGATCTGCATGGAGGAATGGGCCAAAATACCAGCAACAGTGTGTGAAAACCTTGTGAAGACTTACAGAAAACGTTTGACCTGTGTCATTGCCAACAAAGGGTATATAACCAAGTATTGAGAAACTTTTGTTATTGACCAAATACTTATTTTCCACCATAGTTTGCAAATAAATTCATTAAAAATCCTACAATGTGATTTTCTGGATCTTTTATTCTCAATTTGTCTGTCATAGTTGACGTCTACCTATGATGAAAATTACAGGCCTCTCTCATCTTTTTAAGTGGGAGAACTTGCACAATTGGTGGCTGACTAAATACTTTTTTTCCCCACTGTAATTGTATGTGTGGGATACAGAGATGAGGTAGTCATTCAAAAATTATGTTAAACATATATTACATTTACATTTTAGTCATTTAGCAGACGCTCTTATCCAGAGCGACTTACAGTTAGTGAATAATTTACTTTTTTTTTTTATACTGGCCCCCAGTGGGAATCGAACCCACAACCCTGGCGTTGCAAACGCCATGCTCTATCAACTGAGCTACATCCCTGCCGGCCATTCCCTCCCCTATCCTGGAAGACGCTTGGCCAATTGTGCGCCGCCCATGAGTGCGCCGCCCAAAACACTATTATTGCACACAGAGTGAGCCCATGCAACTTATTATGTGACTTGTTAAGCACATTTTGACTCCTGAACTTATTTAGGCTTGCCATAGCAAAGGGGTTGAATACGTATTGACTCAAGAAATTTAGACTTTTATTTTTAATAAATGTATTACAATTTCTAAAAACATAATTCCATTTTGACATTATGGGGTATTGTGTGTAGGCCAGTGACACAAAACCTCAATCTAATCAATTTTAAATTCTGGCTATAACACAACAAAATGTGGAAAAAATCAAGGGGTGTGAATAGTTTCTGAAGGCACTGTATTAGTCTTTCTCCTTATCAAGAGCTATTTTCTTTTCATATTAATTTCTACTTGGCCTGTATTGTAATGAAGATGTTACTATATAAAGTGGCTTATTGATTCAGCTTCCTCGTTTTGAAATGGAGACGATGCAAATTAAATCCTTTCTTCCTCGCAACATTGAGAGAGAGAGAGAGAGAGAGAGAGAGAGAGAGAGAGAGAGAGAGAGAGAATGAGCTAGAAAAAGAGAGGGGAGATCTCAGAATTCCTGTAGAGGAGACAGAATGTGAAAAAGGGGACTTTAAGGACACCCATTTGTCAATTTGGAGTCGCAATTGACACTTATATCCCAGTCTTGTGTGTTTGCAATATATATTGGAGAGCAATGTAAAGCCGCAGAGAGGTAAGTGCAGTGCATCTAATAATATTGTAGCGACCCTGTAGGTCTATCGTGTAGAGGGCTCATGGGGAAGGTATGAGGGTAGGAGTTACCGTTCAGATAGCTCTTATAGGCCACTCGTTTTGGGGGTTGAGGGGGAGCAGAGGGAGAGTGAGTCAGACCGAGACTGAATGGACAACGATAACCTCTCCTCTGAGTTCCACCAAGTTATTAGAGTGAGCCAGATGCTTTTATTGTTTTGGGCAGCCCTCCTAACCCTCTGTTAGCCTGTACTTCAAGGGCAATAAAACCCAGTTCGCCGGTTCAACTTGAGCAACCGTCTCCTAGTTCTTCTAGTTAGCTAGCTAAGGAGTGGACCCGCTAATGCCACAATATGTTAAGGCCGCAAGGTCTCTTGAATTGTTTTGTTTGATGTTTGAACAACTAACTTTATCCTGACCCTGACATTTAGTGATGACGCTATCCGCTGGCCCTGTCAGAAAGACGAGAGGAGAACATGGATTTGCTCATTCAAGACGTACAGCAGAAGGTATTTTTTATTTATCCCTTATTTTACCAGGTAAGTTGACTGAGAACACATTCTCATTTACAGCAACAACCTGGATAATAGTTACAGGGGAGATGAATGAGCCAATTAGAAGCAGGGGATGATTAGGTGGCCATGGCGGCAGGTAGTTTAATGGTTAAGAGGTTTAGTGGTTAAGAGCGTTGTGCCAGTAACCGAAAGGTCGCTGGTTCTAATCCCTGAGCCGACTAGGTGAAAAATCTGTCGATGTGCCCTTGAGCAAGGCACTTAACCCTAATTGCTCCTGTAAGTTGCTCTGGATAAGAGCGTCTGCTAAATGACTAAAATGTAAGCAACTCCAGTGTATATTTGGCCTTGTGTTTAATCTCCTGAGTAGCGCAGTGGTCTAATGCACTGCATCGCAGTGCTAGCTATGCCACTAGAGATCCTGTTTCGAATCCAGGCTCTGTTGTAGCCGGCCGCGACCGGGAGACCCATGGGGTCATTTTCTCTGGTGGTGTTCCAGTTTCATTGCAGGTGTGTGTGTGTGTGTGTGTGTAATTGTCAGTAGTTCATTACATCTAAGGTTTTCTGGTTGCACATTCACTGGGACACATCCATAGCCAGTTAGTTCAAACATTCAAACACGTTCATAACATCAGAGCCCCCTCCTACCTTGGCTCTGCCTGTTGGCAGTCAGTTTCTCCAGCACACTTTCATGTTGAGCGAATGAAAATGAACTGACATTGGAGAGCTGATTACACATAGTGATGCCACCTCAGAACAAAGAGACAATCCCTCGCTCATTTACACTACAGTGGTGACGGCGAGAGAGAGAAAGAGGAGATACTGAGAGAGAGAGAGGGAGCGCGAGCGAGCGAGAGAGAGAGAGAGAGAGAGAGCGAGAGAGATGAATGAAGAGTGACAGGATATTTGACATGATAGGATTAGTTCTCTTTCAGTTGGTCACTCGGTAAAACATACAGTCGCTGCAGAAAAACTGGGGCTGCTTGCGAAGTGTGTTCCAGTGAAGCGACCTCAGGAATGGGGTTGTCTGAGGCCGGCAGAGAGCCACAGCGGTGGTCGGAGATGATAGGGGTGTCACCCCAGCCGAGTGAGGCTCATTCCAGTTTCTCTGGCAGTGTTCAGAGTCCGGATTCCGGGGATGATATACTATCCCTGGTTGGCTCTGGAAGGTTTCATAGTGTGAATCGGATGAGTCCGGAGGAGCCTAAAGCCCCGGCTTTGGATTCAGCTGGGGAGAGTGAACCATTGGTGGTTAATGCGCCTTTGATGGATCTGTGTCGTAGGGTGACAGATCACCGGAGAGTGGATTGGTCGTCTTCAGGTTTGGGAGGTATCCCTGCAGTGGTACAGCGTCGCTTACCCCTGTTTAAAGATTTTGCCAATGCGCTAAAGGGGTGACCTGGGATTCCCCTCATTCAGCCAGGCTGCTGCTACCAGGTTATGGCGAGTTCATGAATGTAGAGTGTATGGTGGAGGTGGGGCTTGTTTGCACACCACCGATGGATGAAAAGCTGGCGAGTTACTTAGCTCCAGAGGCTAACAACACGGCTAATCCTAGCACAGTGCTTCCAAATAAACAGTGCCGTTTCTCGGTTGATCAGCTGGACAAAGTATACCAGGATGAGGGTGTCATTCCTGAGAGGGACAGGCAGATGTATTTGGATGAACCAGTTTTGCCAACAAGGTTGTTTGGCTCGGCTATGGAGTCCTTACAGGCCCGTTTCAAGGAGAAACAAAAACAGGACGCAGCTCCATGGGTCCTTTTTCCCACAGAAATCCTTTGAAGAAGGAAAGGGTCCAGGTTAGAGGCGGGGTTGCCCCAGGCCAGAGGGCAGCTTCGAGGTCGGTTTTTGACTGTGATTCTTCCGCGGCGCAGGGCAAGGAGCAGACCTCACGACCCTAGCTGGAGGCCGGGGAGGGGGAGTGTACTCGGGGCCCTCCTTTACTGTGGCAACAGTGCTCCCAAGTGGCTTGGTCAATAGGGGCAAGTTACTGGTTGCCGAGGTCCCCGAACCCGGTGTGGGCTGGGTATCAGAACAGCGGTACCAAGAAAGCACATTGTTTCTATCCAAGGTTCCTTCGTCTTCAGGGGTATCGAGAGTGCGGTATCGACCAGGTGTGGGCATAATCAACACAGTTTCTTCCCCACATTCAGACACACGGTTGTCAAGAGTGGTGGATATGAGAACAAGCATGACAAAAAAAACTAATTATCCCAGTCCTCAGGGTGGCGCACTGCCCCCCCTTCAGGAGATAATGTATGGGATGCTGGCAGTGTGCTCTGTCCAGTGGGGGGCATGCGCAGTTTCACCATGGGTGATGAGGATGGTGACGAGGGGGTACGGCCTGCAGTTCGCTGTGCGTCCTCCTCCTTTTTGTGATGTCATTATGTCAATGGTCCCCGAGGTCCTAGCGCTGTCTTGAGTGAGGAGATTTCCTCTCTCCTTCAAAAGCAGGCTATTCGGGTGGTCCCCGTGTCAGAAGTACAGAGCGGTTGGTACAGCCGGTACTTCTTATTTCCTAAGAGCGATGAAACTTGAGTGTTTTAAATACCATAAAGCTGAAGGATGCATATTTTCAGGTGGCTATACATCCTCCCCACAAAACGTTGCTGAGGTTTCATTTCGAGGGTGTGGCCTAAGAGTTTCTGGTCCTGCCTTTTGGGCTCGCCATATCGCCCTGCATCTTTTCTACGGTGGCTTGGGCACCGGTGCAGTGCCAAGGAATCAGAGTATTGGCCTATCTGCACGATTGGCTGGTCGTAGCGGAGTCGAGGGGGAACAGGTGGAGCTCCACACTGCCAAGCTGGTAGTGTCCCGTAGGGTGATCACGACAGACACATCCTTACTGGAATGGGGAGCGCTGTGTGAGGGCTACTTGGAAAGAGGGATTTGGTCAACAGCACAAAGGATGCTGCATATCAATTACCTAGAGCTACTGACTGTTTTGCTGGCACTGAGACATTTTCTTCCAATGTTGGAGGGCCAGCATGTGTTGGTAAGGTCCAACAACAGGATGGCGGTGATGTACATCAACATGTAGGGGGAAACACGCTCTCTCGCTCTCTCGCTCTCCTAAACCCTGGCCCGTTATCTGCTCGTATGAAGCAGTGCGCATTTCCTGTCGCTCAGGGTGACGTATCTTCCCGGATCTCTCAATGTGGGTGTGGGTCTACTTTCCAGGGGGTCCTATCTCTACGGAGTGGAGACTGCAACCCTCGGTGGTTGCCCAGATATGGGACCAGTTCTGCAGGGCCGACGTAGATCTCGAGAAAATGCTAATTGTCATCTGTTCATCTTTATGAGGGATCTGGCCGCTCCGTTGGGAACGGCTTTGGCGTATCAGTGGCCTTGGACCCTGCTCTATGCGTTTCCTGTTGTTGATTCTGGTGGCTCCCCGTTTTCCCAGACACCCTGGTTCCCGGAGATCATCCGTCTGTTGGGCGGGGACCTGTGGAGGATTCCGTGTCATCGGGATCTATTGTCCCAGGCGCACGTGAGAGTTTGGCACCCATGACCACAGAAATGGGATCTGTGGGTTTGGCCACTGAAAGGTTGAATTTGACGGTTAGGGGTTTACCCTCAAATGTGATTACGACTATACAGTCGGCGCGTGCGCCCTCTACGAGAGAGTTGTATACATGTAAGTGGCATGCATTTGAGGGTTGGTGTCAGGTTAAAGGAGTTTCTCCTTTTCAGTGCTCTTCGGTGGACATTTTGATGTTCTTGCAAGAGCTTTTTGAGCTGGGCCTTTTTTTTCACATTGAAGGTTTATATGACAGCCATCTCGACGTGTCATGTAGGGATTGACGGCTCTACTCCGGGGTTTCATCCTCTGGTGGTGCGGTTCCTGAAAGGCATGCATCGGCACAGACTAGTGTCTAAGCCTATGTCACTGACCTGTGACCTGGCTTTGGTCCTGGACACTGTGTGAGCCTCCGTTTTAACCATTGGAGTCTGTGGACCTGAAGGTATTTTCTGACCAGACTGCCCTGCTCATGGCCTTGGCATCGGCCAAACGTGTTGGGGATCTCCGCGCGCTATCAATGCACCCTTCCTGTTTGAAGTTCACGCCTGGCGACTCCAAAGTGATGTTACGTCCTAATGCAGCTTTTGCTCCCAAGGTTATGCCGATGTCTTACAGGTCCCTGGCTTTTGAGCTGTTCCCTTTCTCACCTCTTCCGTTTGCTTCCAGTGAACAACGGAGGTTGCATAGCCTGTGTCCGGTGCTCGATTTACACATGTGTATGGATAGGAACAAGGATATCTACGCAGGGGTAGGGCACTTTCTAAGCAGCATCTTTCTCATTGGATTGTGGAGGCAATCTCCCTGGCGTATGACAGCAAAGTACAAGGGTTGCCTAGCTGTGTGCGTGCTCACTCCACTAGGGATGTGGTGGCTGCTTGGGCATTGTTCAGGGGCATGACGATTGGTGATATATGTGCTGCAGAAAGTTGGAGTTCCCTACATACCTTTGTGAGGTTTAATCATTTGGATGTAACTGCTTCCATTGAGGCTTGTAGTGTTCTTATGTTTGGGTCCGGGAGTGGGTGTTAGGCAGCGTGCAGATTGCGCATTTATCCGGGCTATTCCCTTTGGGTTTGAACCTTGAGCTGCCTTGGGGTGTGGAAGTGTGTAAAGTGCGCATTATCAGGGTTACCACAGTTTCCTGTGGGTTTGAGCCTTGGGCTGCTGTGGTAGTGTGCAAGTTCACAGTTTCCAGGTTACTGCAGGATTCCTGTGGGTTTGTGCCTCAGGCTGCCGTGGTTCATGGACTCTGGTCGATGCTATGCAGAGCGCGTGTGCGCTTTACCAAGTCACAACAGATGTTCTGTTGTTTTGGACTTAAAGTTCCTTGTACGAGTTCTGACATTTCAGGCTTGCAAGGTAAGTATTGTTCTTGGAACCATAGGGTCTATGGACTTGGGCTTCAGTGGCAGCGAGTCAGTGCGCATAGCGAAGTTGCAGCAAGTTCTGGTTCCCTATATGGTGCTCTGACAGTTCAGGCCTCATGAGGCTCTGACAGTTCAGGCTTCTCGAGTAAGTATTAGGGAAACATTTGGCTTCTGTAACCCCTTTTTGGAGCTGGTGGAACCTGAGTGCTTGGGCTGCTGTGGGCCTCCTAGTTTGGTACTCTCTGAGCCGGCTTGGCACGTGATTGTATGTCCCCATAGTATGCTATACCGAGTGACCGACTGAAAGGGGACGTACAGTTATGGACGTACAGTTAAGGGGACGTACCGTTATGTTCCCTGAAGAAGGGAGCGAGGTATAACATATTTTGGCCCCGCGCCGTCAGGGGATTTGGGCTCGCTGAAGAGCGATACTGAATTGAGGAAATGGATGTGAGCCCGGTATTATACCCAGGGAGGTGGGGCTTCTGAGAGCGGGCTTGGCATCCATTGGCCCGTTGGGCGTGATTTCAGTTTTCTTCAGGTGAATATGATTGGTCGTTGACTCCCCATAGTATGTTATACCTTGTTCCCTCCTTCATGGAACAGTAGTTCTAGTCATAATTGTATGTTTATGAGTGTCCATCAAAATGTAATATTAATACAGCAATTCTAAATTACAGCATTATTTAGAGTTGTTGCTATTCTAGTCTACAGCCACACATTTGTAGAATGACAGTAATATGAAACATTATTTGTTTCTTAAATAAAAATGTAAAGAGGCACCTGTTTATAATGATATATATTACAGTACTATGGTCTCCCCTGGCTCACATGCTCACATGCTCCCTGTAACGATAATGAAGTGTCTGTCTAATGTATTAACCAACAAAACATTCTCAAAAGACCTGACATTCGCACACACACACACACACACACACACACACACACACACACACACACACACACACACACACACACACACACACACACACACACACACACACACACACAATGTGTATACACACGCAACGTTCCACTCTGCCAGCTCACAGTCTCGCCTACCAGCAGCTCCCCTTCAATGCCAATTAGTTGAATTAGAACTCATTGTGTTATTTGTGCTCATTAAGTCGGAGCAAACTTCCTGAGCTCTGCCATGTCACCGTAGCCCTTTCCTGACCAAATTGCCCTCTAGTGGCCTCATGGGTGGAATACTATTAATATTTTTCATAATTTCATAATTAATAAACATGTTATTATTTTTTTACGCTGAAAATTCAGTGTTTCTATGTCAAACGGTTTTGGTATATTGGGATGCAAACTCAAAATGGAATACATTTCAACTACTGTATATACAGTATCTGACATTGTATAGGTGTCTTCCTTTTTTAAAGCCCATAACCGTGTGTAATGAGGTGTATACTTTTGTTTCAAATTAGATTTTTTTAAGACTACCAAGAAACACTCTGTGTGACCCTGATTTAGCCCACTGCAGTAAAAGTTTAAACCTCTTAAATGTAACTAAATGTAATCGAAAATTTAATCTACCTAATCTCCAAAAGTAATTATTTATCATGAGATAAAACAATAACTAGTAATGCTGCATACTCCAAGAAAGGTTAAAATCTCACCTTTCTGGTAAAAAAAGTTATAAATTGTTGAGGTGTACTCACTTTTGAGGACACAAGCTCAAGTACACAGTACAAATATGATAAAATATGAAAATATGAAATATTTTATACCATGTATTCCTATTCAACAAAACTGTATGAATAAGGCTTGAAATGACACATTTTCTTTTAAATATAGTATAATCAAGTTATAAAATGACTACCTATAAGATTTCACCTCCCTTATAACTGTAAAAGACACTGAGTGTACAAAATATTAAGAACACCTGCTCTTTCCATGACATGGACTGAGCAAGTGAATCCAGGTGAAAGCTATGATCCCTTATTGATGTCACTTGTTAAATCCCCTTCAATCAGTTTAGATGAAAGGGAGGAGACAGGTTAAAGAAGGATGTTTAAGCCTTGAGACAATTGAGACATGGATTGTGTATGTGTGCCATTCAGAGGGTGAATGGGCAAGACAAAATATTTAAGTGCCTTTGAACGGGGTCAAGAACTGCAACGGTTTTTCATGCTCAACAGATTCCCATGTGTATCAAGAATGGTCCACCACACACAGGACATCCAGCCAACTTGACACGACTATGGGAAGTATTGGAGTCAACATGGGCCAGCATCCCTGTGGAACGCTTTCGACACCTTGTAGAGTCCATGCCCCGACGAACTGAGGTTGTTCTGAGGGCAACAGGGGGTGCAACTCAATATTAGGAAGGTGTTCCTAATGTTTGGTATACTCAGTATATATATTTGTAGATTTAGTGTGAATATTATAAGGCCTCTCTTGATCATCGCTGTGAATGTCTCAACGAGCTCTAGCTTGGCTTCCTGTACTTCTTCGGAACTCACCTTTCATCTCATTAATCTTGTCCATCTTTTATATTACTGGCTATAAATTGATCTCTGAATGTGCTACAGCGACGAAACCGCTCTCTCCTGCTGCGTTACGATGTAAGGATTCCAGGCATATGTTAGTGGCTGTGACGTAGGGTTCAGCCAGAAGTTGATGGACAGTCGGAAGAGCGAATAAAATGGTAGGAGGGACATCCCAACTTCAAGTGGTGTCAGATTTCACATCCTGCTTCACATAGGCAAAACAGTATACTCCTGTGTCGTTGAGAATCAGGGCTACCGCTCAATGCAAGCCATTTCAATCTACGGTGTCCACAGATCGATTAATTTTTTTAATTTTTATTTCACCTTTATTTAACCAGGTAAGCCAGTTGAGAACAAGTTCTCATTTACAACTGTGACCTGGCCAAGATAAAGCAAAGCAGTGCGATAAAAACAACAACACAGAGTTACATATGGGGTAAACAAAACATAAAGGCAAAAATACAAAAAAATATATATATACAGTGTGTGCGAATGTAGTAAGTTATGGAGGTAAGGCAATAAATAGGCCATAGTGCAAAATAGTTACAATTTCGTATTAACACTGGAATGATAGATGTGCAAAAGATGATGTGCAAATAGAGATACTGGGGTGCAAATTAGCAAAATAAATAACAATATGGGGATGAGGTAGTTGGGTGGACTAATTTCAGAATGGCTGTGTACAGGTGCATTAATCTTTAAGCTGCTCTGACAACTGACGCTTAAAGTTAGTGAGGGAGATAAGAGTCTCCAGCTTCAGAGATTTTTGCAGTTAGTTCCAGTCATTGGCAGCAGAGAACTGGAAGGAATGGCGGCCAAAGGAGGTGTTGACTTTGGGGATGACCAGTGAGATATACCTGCTGGAGCGCAGACTACGGGTGGGTGTTGCTATGGTGACCAGTGAGCTAAGATAAGACGGGGATTTGCCTAGCAGTGATTTATAGATTTACATTTACATTTTACATTTTAGTCATTTAGCAGACGCTCTTATCCAGAGCGACTTACAGGAGCAATTAGGGTTAAGTGCCTTGCTCAAGGGCACAGACAGATTTCACTTAGTCGGCTCGGAGATTAGAACCAGCGACCTTTCGGTTACTGGCACAACGCTCTTTACCACAAACTACCTGCCGCCAGTGGGTTTGGCGACAAATATGTAGTGAGGGCCAGCCAACAAGAGCGTACAGGTCACAGTGGTGGGTAGTATATGGGGCTTTGGTGACAAAACGGATGTGATAGACTACATCCAATTTGCTGAGTAGAGTGTTGGAGGCTATTTTGTAAATGACATCGCCGAAGTCAAGGATCGGTAGGATAGTCAGTTTTACAAGGGCATGTTTGGCAGCATGAGTGAAGGAGGCTTTGTCGCGAAATAGGAAGCCGATTCTAAATCTAACTTTTGATTGGAGATGCTTAATGTGAGTCTGGAAGGAGAGTTTACAGTCTAACCAGAAACCTAGGTATTTGTAGTTGTCCACATACTCTAGGTCAGACCCGCCGAGAGTAGTGATTCTAGTCGGGTGGGCGGGTGCAAGCAGCGTTCGGTTGAAGAGCATGCATTTAGTTTTACTAGTGTTTAAGAGCAGTTGGAGGCTACGGAAGGAGTGTTGTATGGCGTTGAAGCTCGTTTGGAGGTTTGTTAACACAGTGTCCAATGTAGGGCCAGATGTATACAAAATGGTGTCGTCTGCGTAGAGGTGGATCCGAGCGTCACCAGCAGCAAGAGCAACATCATTGATATACACAGAGAATAGAGTCGGCCCGAGAATTGAACCCTGTGGCACACCCATAGAGACGGCCAGAGGTCCAGACAACAGGCCCTCCGATTTGACACGTTGAACTCTATAACCTAAAATGTCGGTCGGAAGCGGTACCAGAACCACGCAGGTCCCCTAAACAGGGGACTTTACATCGAAGTGGTTTTTAAACTAAAGAGTCCCCAAGGAGTTTCACTGTCACCACAACATTCTGTGGCCCATGACTTACACAGCCAGCAATAGGGTTGTCATGCAACTACACAACTCCCAGGCCAAATCTAAAATGGCACCCTATTCCCCATATAGTATGTGATTGAAGTGAGCTTACACAACCAGCCATAGGGTTCTTATACAACTACACAGCTCCAAGGCCAAATCTAAAATGACACCCTATTCCCCATATAGTAAGTGATTGAAGTGAGCCAGTCCTGACCCGTATGGAGAACCGGCACCATAATTTTCTTCTTCCTGTGCATCTCTTATCAAATACTGGCTCTAATACAAACCTTTGTACAGACATATTAGTAACAGCACTTTTTTCATTCCACTTCAAGCACTGCAATATGACCGGTGTCATGTACTGTATAAAAACATACGGCTCTCGCCATAAGGAGTGCACTACAGTACAGTATGTACAGTATGTCATTTGAGATGCAGCCTAAGTGAGCCTCTGTAAACCAGAGGCCTTCATCATCACAAGGTCATAGTTTCAGTTCATCTAATAAAATATTACTGTACTAATAAAATACTACTGTACATCTAATAAAATATTACCTGACTGCCAACCAAATGGGTCTAAGCTGAAGCTAAAGCCAATAAGGACAGCTGGGCAGGAGAGTGTGATGGTTTTCTATCTATAGGAATAAAAAGACCACATCAAAGAGCTGTTGATTGATTTGATGGAACTTTATTGACATGTGTACAGGTCACAGTCCAGGTAGCCATGCAGGAAGGGAGACCGTGTGTGCTAATGCCAGGTGGATGGGGGGAAATGACCTTGGAGTACTGGTCCAGAGCCAGGCTTGGTTAGTCAGTCTCAAATAAACAGATCCAAGACCAGCCCTTAAAGGCTACTATACTTGTCATGCCTCTAAAACCTTTATTATGCAGCTATTCTTTAAAGCTACATGCTGTAAGATTTCAATAAACTACTAAAATACACCCATTGATTAGGAGAATATATTCTTATACCATACCTATTACTCCATTGTCTTTTATAGGTATATAGGACTTTGTAAACAAATTGCAGTGCATTCGGAAAGTATTCAGACCCCTTGACTTTTTCCACGTTGTTACGTTACAGCCTTATTCTAAAATTGATGAAATTGTTTTTTTGACGCTAAAAGCTTGGCACACCTGTATTTGGGGAGTTTCTCCCATTCTTCTCTGCAGATCCTCTCAAGCTCGGTCAGGTCGGATGCGGAGCATCGCTGCACTGCTATTTTCAGGTCTCTCCAGAGATGTTTGATCGGGTTCAAGTCCGGGATCTGCCTGGGCCACTCAAGGACATTCAGAGACTTGTCCCGAAGCTACTCCTGCGTTGTCTTGGCTGTGTGCTTAGGGTCGTTGTCCTGCTGGAAGGTGAACCTTCGCCCCAGTCTGAGGTCCTGAGCGCTCTGGAGCAGGTTTTCATCAAGGATCTGTCTCTTTGCTCCGTTCATCTTTCCCTCGATCCTGACTAGTCTCCCAGTCCCTGCCACTGAAAAACATCCCCACAGCATGATGCTGCCACCACCATGCTTCACCGTAGGGATGGTGCCAGGTTTCCTCCAGACGTGACGCTTGGCATTCAGGCCAAAGAATTCAATCTTGGTTTCATCAGACCAGAGAATCTTGTGTCTCATGGTCTGAGAGTCCTTTAGGTACCTTTTGGCAAACTCCAAGCGGGCTTTCATGTACCTTTTACTGAGGAGTGAATTCCATCTGGCCACTCTACCATAAAGGCCTGTTTGGTGGAGTGCTGCACCATCCCTACAGTGTTCCTTTTAAGAATGATGGAGGCTACTGTGTTCTTGGGGACCTTCAATGCTGCAGACATGTTTTTGGTACCATTCCCCAGATCTGTGCCTCGACACAATCCTGTCTCGGAGCTCTACGGACAATTCCTTCAACCTCATGGCTTGGTTATTGCTCTGACATGCACTGTCCACTGCGGGACCTTACATAGACAGGTGTGTGCCTTTCCAAATCATGTCCAATCAATTGAATTTACCACAGGTGGACTCCAATCAAGTTGTAGAAACATCATAAGGATGATCAATGGAAACAGGATGCACCAGAGCTCAATTTGAGTCTCATAGCAAAGGGTCTGAATATTTATGTAAATAAGTGATTTCTGTTTTTCATTTTCAATAAATGTGCAACATTTTCTAAAAACCTGTTTTCACTTGGTCATTATGGTGGATTGTGTGTAGATTGATAAGGAAAAACCTTTGTTTAATCCATTTTAGAATAAGGCTATAACGTAACAAAATGTGGAAAAAGTCAAGGGGTATGAATACTTTCCGAATGTACTGTATGTATAGCTTTAAATCATGTATAAAAAAGTACTGTTGCTCTCATGAAATGTCATCCCTTGAGCACCACAGAAATATCATATAATTCAAGTGTTATATGCATGTGAAACTGTACTGGAATGGATCGTATTGCTCCAATGCTTGGTGGACCCACTCCTTGATGGCCAAGAAATGTGGCTTTAATTGCAATATACACCTTATAACTGTTAGTAAAGATTGAGACTATACTGAGGGGTAATCAGATGTACAGATATAGTGACTAGAACGGGTAGAGTGCAAAGTCCTGTGGTTGGGTTGTGCTGTTCAGTCTTGATGCTGATATATTAGGTATGGAATAAATGCCATTACCAAAAACAGTGAACTCTTTGATAGCTGGATACCATATGGTTAATGCCATGATAACTGAATACATACAACAGTTTCTCCATAGTTCTATTTACATATATTCATACGAACGAGTGGTTATTGCCAAGACAGCTTCTGACTGCTACTGCCCTAGAGTGAATCAGCAAATGAAGTAATGACATCAACAGGACGTTTTAACCAGTGATTTCATAGACATTCCACTCTCAATTCAGCGGGATACACAAAAACATAATTTGTCCGGCCTAGGCAGTTACGTAAGTGTGTTACAATGGTATATTTCAACACTACATGTAGACTATCTCTCTGGAGAAAAAAAAACACAACATGGAAACAAGCATCACCCAAAGGGCTGAGGACGTCATACATGTGAAAAAAATGTTTGTCGGGTCGTTGCATCCCAACACATTCCATGACAATAATGTTTTACTAACTTACTATAAAATGCCATGAAAATGGCTGACATCCAGAGGCCTATGGAGGAGCCCATATAGAGGGAGAAATCTGATGTTTAGGTTAAGCCTTGTGTCTGAGTGTCTTATCATGCTACACTGTCTCAGTGCTGTGACCGCTGTGACCTCTGCTGCAGTCACAGAGCTCTAAGCCTTTAGTGATCACAAAGAGGGAGAGAGTGCTAGACAGAGAGAATGTGTGACAGACAAAGAGGTGGGGGAAAGAAAGAGGGGGAGAGGGAGAGAGGTCCCAAATAATCACACACTAAGCACTCTGCATTGTTAGGAAGGGCTCGTAAGCAAGCATTTCACGTTAAAGTCTACACCAGCTGTATTCGGCGCATGTGGCAATTAACATTTGATTTGAAATGTGATCTGAGGACTGGGGAGTGTACAGGGACATCACAGCAGGATTAGCATGTGTGTCTGTCTCCCTCACTTTCCTGGCTAAACCCTTCCTAATAGTAAAGATAATTAATGATAATGGATTGGATTTATATAGCGCTTTTCCAGATGCTCAGAGCACTTTAAACCTCCTCCACCACCTACAGGTATGTCTAGCACACTCCTGGATGATGCCACGGCAGCCATTTTGCACCAAAAAACCTGTTAGCCCTTTAGCTAAACAAATTGTGAAACAGGGTAGACCAATGTAAAGCAAAGAAGGGGTTTAGCAAAGATGAAATGTTAGGACCTGAACCTCCCACCAGTCAGGGAGTGAGTGAAGCATGCATCAATACATTTTACTCAACTCAACAGTACACTTTCAATTACATTGTCCAATCTAAAATCCACAAATCAAGCATAAGGCCCTTGAGGCTCCCTTCTACCCCCACCACCTACCCACTTTGGTTTTCCCCAATGTGCTAAATAATCGGTGCCACAGGGAATGCGGCTATACCATATCTGGCTTGGAGGACAACCTCAAAGGAAAAGAGCTTTGTCGCAACAAGCTGCTACAATAAAATGCTACAGAACTTGGACTCACAAAAACGTCCAAATTTCACTTTCACATGAAATCCAAAAGGTCACACGACCACACAGCGAAAAACTGCCAGTCTTCTCCCCCTTGGCTCAAGCAGAAGCCTGTGTAGATTGTAAAGTCTCCATAAATTTTTCAGACAAGCACTGCCTGCTACAGTCACGCCCCCCAAGCTCCAGGGCCATTGTTAGCGTCAGTGTCTTTGTGCAGTGTATGTGTGTGTGTGTGTGTGCGTGAACAGGTGAAAGAGTGTGAGGATACACCACAGGTAAAGCAGCTAGCTCAACAGAAGCCCTCCCCCTCCTTTCTCTCAAAAATATTCCACCACTCCAAGCAAAGCAGTGAAATCAAATCTATCCTGGCCAGCGTCCACCATATTCTCCCTCCCTCTCTATGTTTTCTGGTGGTGGTGGGAGGGTCCATTTCCACATCCAGAGAGTTGGCAGTCGGTGAGGTGTTAGGGAAGCACTCCTGATAGAGGGTGGTCTTCAGGGCAGAACGAGGGTCGGGAAACAGAGAGTTCCCCTCTTTTACGGAAGTCATATCTCCACAAGGTACTTGGAAGGGACTAGACCTCTCTTCTTCCCACTGCTCAGCTTTAAGAAACCGTCCAGCTCTTCGTTCTTCCCCACACAGATCTAGTTTGAGAAAATAAAGGTGTTTAGTACAGGGGCTTGTGTGTGTGTGTGCGTCTGCTAAATGACTAAAATGTGTGTGTGTGTGTGTGTGTCAGTGTACCTGAGACTCTTTCACAGTCATCTGCCCTCTGTCACGGTCACCATGGAAACCACCTGTGACCTTCCACACACGCTCACCTGGGCGCACTCTCTGTACAAAGTTGGCGGGGAAGAAACCCAGCTTGTCTTTACTTTTCCCCTGTGAACACACACAGCAGAACATAGTTAAGACAATTAATTCCACTATGCTAGTATATTCCCAGGGATGTAGTGATAAAAAGGTGGGTAAACGCCAAATGCCAATAGACAAATGGCACATCCATGTAGGTACAGCACTTTTTTATTGTTTGAAGAAATGGTGTGTCTGCATGCACGCGTGTCCCAACGTGTTTGCGTGCAAATGTTTTCTTTATTCTTAGGTGAGTGTGTGTCACGACTTCCGCCGAGGCTGCCTCCCCTCCTTGTTCGGGCAGGCTTCGGCGTTAGTCGTCACCGGCTTACTAACCACTGCCGCCCCAATCATCATCATCACATTTGTCTTGTCTTGTCAATCACACACACCTGGTTCTAATCCCCTCATTAGTAAGTGTTCCCTCTGCCCCCTTGTCCTTGTGGGTGATTGTTTGAATGTGAGAGTAGTGGAGCTACTCGTACCATTTTGTTGCCAGGGTAGATATTTCCCCTGTGCCTATGTATTGTATGGAGATACGTTACAGTGTATTGCCAGGGTAGATAGTTTCCCCTGTGCCTGTTTCGTTTGTTGTTATTCCAGCGTATTTTGTGTAACGAAGGAATAAACTTTGTATTCGGTGATTACCCTCCTGCGCCTGACTCCTTCCATCACACTCATCACAGTGTGAGCTGACGATTGCTTTTCCCTCTGCGCTCAGCTTATCTCCATTAGGCCAAACCAAAAGGCAAAGCACATAAAACTTTCATTACAGCCTGCTCCACTTACTGACTACTAGCTCTGCTAAACCGAAGTTGCCCAAAGAAACTGATTTAAGGTCAGTTTTGCTTTTCCCCACCTAATGGTTACAGGTAGAATTGGGGGAAGTTAAGCTGATCCTAGATCTGTGCTTATGGGCAACTTTTACCTTGATAAAGTCACTACTCTCTCCATTGTCTAAGAACACTCCATGTTATTTAGTCTTCTACGAAAGGTGCTATCTAGAACCAGCGCATTTTCTATATTTGCGGGTTAGGGTCGGGTGCGGGCCTCAGATTTTCACGTTATCACATATAGTCAGGCGGTTGCAGATGGGTTATTAGCAAGTGCGGGCAGGTGCAGGTGAAGAAATAGCTTACCCGCGCATCACTACTTTATATAGTATAGTAGGTCCTGTTTGAATACTTGAATGCTTTCATGACTTTTCTGATATTGACATGACTGGAAGGGTGAAAGCTATGTAAAAAAAACATTGTAAAGTGGTTATCCCACTGGCTATAAGGTGAATGCACCTATTTGTAAGTCGCTCTGGATAAGAGCGTCTGCTAAATGACGTAAATGTAAATGTAAATGTAATGGAGCCCTTGGCTATACCTATCCAAATGTGTTGCATTTTTCTCAAGGAAGAGGCAGCAAGGAAGAACGGAAGGAAGGAAGAACAGAAGGAAGGAAGGAAGGAAGGAAGGAAGAACAGAAGGAAGGAAGGAAGGAAGGAAGGAAGGAAGGAAGAACAGAAGGAAGGAAGGAAGGAAGGAAGGAAGGAAGGAAGGAAGGAAGGAAGGAAGGAAGGAAGGAAGGAAGGAAGGAAGGAAGGAAGGAAGGAAGGAAGGAAGGAAGGAAGGAAGGAAGGAAGGAAGAACGGAAGAACGGAAGGAAGAACGGAAGGAAGAACGGAAGGAAGGAAGGAAGGAAGGAAGAACAGAAGGAAAGAAAGGAAGGAAGGAAGAATGGAAGCAAGGAAGAACGGAAGGAAGGAAGAACGGAAGGAAGGAAGAACGGAAGGAAGGAAGGATGGATATCGAAAGTATGAGTATTCTGGGCCCGAGTAACAAAACAAAAACTGTATTTTTTACCCACCTTCCACCAGTCCTCATTGGAGTCATCAGTTACTTGCACTCGATCGCCAGGTCTGAGAGGGAAACAACAGGTACTGATTAAACACACAAACACACGCACACACACACATCCCCGGCTGCCTGTCCTTCTCAGTCTGTAGTTCCAACAGCGTTGCCAGCTACGTCTCAGACCCCCAGTGAGAAGGCAGATGGTCTGAGAGATGTGTTGGCACTGCATACGTCCTTCCTGTTTTTCTCACCTGCCCACTACGACAATACCCCCTCCCCATACACACACACCTCTCTCCCTTTTTACCTTTCATGTGGTAATGTGAAGTCTGACTTTCTGTCTGAATATGACAGAACACGTGTGCAGACACACACACACACACACACACACACAAGCACATGCGTGCACACACACACGCACACACACATAAAGGTACTATGTATTTAACTCACTGTAACTCCAGATCATTCTTCTCCTGAGGGATGAACTTGTACAGAGCCACGTAGGTGTGTACGGAGTGGACGTCGATGCGCTTTGGAGTCTGGACACACGCACACACCAAATTAGTCTAATACACACGTACAGTTTTTTTTGTTATCTCTTTGGTATTATTTTCACAAGTACAGTATGTTTGTGGAGAATTTTCTAAACTCCTAGTACAAAACTCCAAACTGGTAACATTTGTAATGCAGCCAGTCTTGCATTCAAAACCTTTCATTGTGCATTCATTTTGTTTGTAGACATCTTTCACCATTGATCCAAAATATACACTACCGTTCAAAAGTTTGGGGTCACTTAGAAATGTCCTTGTTTTCCATGAAAACATATATGAAATGAGTTTGAATAGTAAATATAGCAAAATGCAAAGGAAATGTATTCATTGACAAGGTTAGAAATACTGATTTTAATTGAAATAATAATTGTGTCCTTCAAACTTTGCTTTCGTCAAAGAATCCTCCATTTGCAGCAATTACAGCCTTGCAGACCTTTGGCATTCTAGTTGTCAATTTGTTGAGGTAATCTGAAGAGATTTCACCCCATGCTTCCTGAAGCACCTCCCACAAGTTGGATTGGCTTGATGGGCACTTCTTACATACCATACGGTCAAGCTGCTCCCAAAACAGCTCAATAGGGTTGAGATCCGGTGACTGTGCTGGCCACACCATTATAGACAGAATACCAGCTGACTGCTTCTTCCCTAAATAGTTCATGCATAGTTTGGAGCTGTGTTTTGGGTCGTTGTCCTGTTGTAGGAGGAAATTGGCTCCAATCAAGCGCCGTCCACAGGGTATGGCATGGCGTTGCAAAATGGAGAGATAGCCTTCCTTCTTCAAGATCCCTTTTACCCTGTACAAATCTCCCACTTTACCACCACCAAAGCACCCCCAGACCATCACATTGCCTCCACCATGCTTGACAGATGGCATCAAGCACTCCTCCAGCATCTTTTAATTTGGTATGCGTCTCACAAATGTTCTTCTTTGTGATCCGAACACCTACAACTTCGATTAGTCTGTCCATAACACTTTTTTTCCAATCTTCCTCTGTCCAGTGTCTGTGTTCTTTTGCCAATCTTAATCTTTTCTTTGTATTGGCCAGTCTGAGATATGGCTTTTTCTTTGCAACTCTGCCTAGAAGTTCAGCATCCCGGAGTAGCCTCTTCACTGTTGACGTTGAGACTGGTGTTTTGTGGGTACTATTTAATGAAGCTGCCAGTTGAGGACCTGTGAGGCGTCTGTTCATTAAACTAGACACTCTAATGTATTTGTCTTCTTGCTCAGTTGTGCACCGGGGCCTCCCACTCCTCTTTCTATTCTGGTTAGAGACAGTTTGTACTGTTCTATGAAGGGAGTAGTACACAGCGTTGTACAAGATCTTCAGTTTCTTGGCAAATTCTCGCATGGAATAGCCTTCATTTCTCAAAACAAGAATAGACTGATGAGTTTCAGAAGAAAGTCCTTTGTTTTTGGCCATTTTGAGCCTGTAATCGAACCCACAATTGCTGATGCTACAGATACTCAACTAGTCTCAGGAAGGCCAGTTGTATTGCGTCTTTAATCAGCACAACAGTTTTCAGCTGTGCTAACATAATTGCAAAAGGGTTTTCTAATGAACAATTAGCCTTTTAAAATAATAAACTTGGATTAGCAAACACAACGTGCCATTGGAACCAGTGGCGGCTCCTGAAAAAATTCTCAGGAGGGGCAATTTTTCTGATGATTTAGGTGACCTACACACATTTTTAAAAAGATATGTCCAGCAACAACATGAAGACAGGGGCAGCATATAAGTCAATACCAGAAGCATTTATTGACTGATCTCAAAAGTGTTGGCTTACAAAAGCAAAATAAGTTATCACAGTAAAAATAATCAAGGGTGTTCTTTCACATTCCTCAACACTGCATAAACAATATGTATGGCTTTGTAAAAATGAACAACCATATTCTGGCCAATTGTATAGATTTGTAAATATGAACAACCATATTCTGGCCAATTGTATAGATTTGTAAAAATGAACATGAACAGATTTTTTATTTTTTTGAATGGCAGTACCTTTCAAACATGTCTGCTTGCAGTAAGGTAGCACTCACAAGGTGGCCAGAGAAAGAGAACCTTTCTTTGGTGTGATCCAGGATGGTGTTGCAGACCTCTTCAGACAGCCTCTGCTTCTCCTCTTCTCTCAAAGCTGTTCTGGGTCTTTTGGCTCCTGTTGCTTCTTGCAGCTGCTGTTGAGAGGAGTCCCTGAAGGCAAACAGACCAATGTGTTTGTTGGCTTTGTACAGTATTGTTGTCTATGTGATGCACAGGTATATGCAATGTATCCATGTATAGTACAAATACTTCAGTTCCACTTAAAATGGGCAGGGATGCATAAAGTCTTTAGTGTTTAAGTTAGCCTTTGTGTCTCACATAGCCTGGATGTTCAGCACAGTATACAGTGGTGCTCATAAGCTTATGATCCCATGCTAAAGTTGACTAAAAAGAGGAATAAAAAATAAAATAAAATTGGTGTCCTTAAAGGTTGGATTTTCCAACTTTTTTAATTAAGTCATTAAGATCAATTTCCAAAAGATGATTTTTTTATTTTTTTATTCCTCTTTTTAGTCAGCTTTAGAATGTGTTCATACACTTATGAGCACCACTGTACAGTACACATAGTATATAAAATAAGATAGATTACACCACTGGCCATATATAATGACAATAATGTAATTTCAAACACAAATGCAGTCTCCTTTCATGCATACATTTTCAAATAAAGCTCTGCTTTGAGAAAGATCGAATGATATTGTTTAATCTTTATCTTACCTTATGGCCTGCACACTGCTTGCGAAGCTGTCGAGGGCACGTTTGATAAAGACAGCATCGATGTCCTTATTCTGTAGCTTCTGGTACGGTGGGCTGGTCAAATGAACCCAATGAACCCGTCCGGATGGCTTCAAAACATTCTATGAGGTCGTCTCGATTCTCGTAGACAGTGTTCACGACTCTGCTGTTGCTAACCTCATCGTTGTGGCGGCGGACAGCTAGCCTGTATCCCTCATCCAGTTGAGTGGCAATATTCACTCTCACCAAAGCAGACAATCTCAAACAGCTATCAATGTGGGTCTTTGACAGCTCATTTTTCTTAATCTTTTCTGAAAGATGGTGCATGTCGGTTACACCAGTCGCTGTCCAAGCGTTGCTGTCTGCCGTTCATGGTTACGTTACGTTACGTATGACGAAAGCGCGTAAGTGCAAGCCCTCAGACACCCATAGAGAATGTATTGAAAGCTCAGAAATTTGAAAAAAAATTATTTTACATTAGAGGCTATGAGAGACTTCTGGGCGATTTTCAACCTGACTGAAATCGCCCCAAAACGGGCGGGGACATTTGAAGCACGACTTTAGCCTGATTGGACATTTAGTGGCTGGCAGATCAGACGTGAACACTGAACTACTGTTGCCATGATATAATTGATTAGAAAAAAAATCCCTTCCTTTTCCCGTTTGGCAGTGCGTCGCCCATATCGCCCTATTGAACACACCGCCCATGATTGGAACACAGGACTGATGGTTGCTGATAATGGGCCTCTGTACACCTATGTAGATATTCCATTAAAAAACAGCCGTTTCCAGCTACAATAGCCATTTACAACATTAACAATGTCTACACTGTATTTCTGATCAATTTGATGTTATTTTAATGGACAAAGAAACAAGGACATTTCTAAGTGACCCCAAACTTTTGAACGGTAGTGTAAGTTTACTGAGAAATATAATGAGTACATTGGTTCACCAAAACACAACTTAATGATATCTTCTCAATTCAGTTATTTTAACCACCAGTTAATCCAATAGCAAAATGTAAAAAAATTGCCCACTGAATGTAGTATGCTACAGTACTGTAAATTACAGTATATTACACTGTTTTCACGTTAGGCAATACACTTGCTCTACCCATTACAATTTACTGAACATAACATTTCCGTAATTTCTATCCCATGTGTGATCATTGAAGACATCTATCATTTACATTTACATTTTAGTCATTCAGCAGACGCTCTTATCCAGAGCGACTTACAGTTAGTGAGTGAATACATTTGTCATACTGGCCCCCCATGGGAATTGAACCCACAACCCTGGCGTTGCAAGTGCCATGCTCTATCAATTGAGCTACAATGTAATCAAATGAAAGAAATGAAAGAAACAATGTTTAGAAGGCACTAGTTTGCATCAAGCCTGTCTTGAGCATTTGGCCATAGAAATCGCAGTAAATATCCTCATTGTTCATGCGCCTGGGGAAAAACATTTTGGCATAGCGAATGCAAGCCTGACGTACAGCATGTCTGGACTGAACTCATTGCATGCCTCATCCATGGCCTGAGGGAGGGTGGTACACTCATGGGGATGGCAATCATACATAAATGGCATATACTACAGTATTACAGTACTGCATTGGCCAATGCAATTTTAGTAAAGCAGGGGTGAACAGAAAGTCGCATGGAGGTTGTGAGCAGAGTTTGAAAGAAGGAGAGATAAAGAGAGGGAGGGTTTAGCGTTAGAGGTGAAGAGGGATGGAGGGATGAAGGGGTGGATAGATAAAGGCCTACAGCACTTGATGTTTCATGGAAGTGAAAAGGGACGGATGAGCATGAAAGGAGAGAGGAAACACTTGAGAAAGAGATGCTGACTACACACCTTCAGACTGACCCTGTCCTCCGAATCGGCCTTCTCACTTTCAGAAGGATTGACAGCTAGAGGGAGAGAGGCGGGGGGGGGAGAGGGTGGCATGGGGGGAGAGAGAGCGGGGGGGGAGAGGGAGGAGGGGAGGAGTGGTTGCTGAGAGCTATATGCTCTCTGCTCGTACTTACTAGCTCGCTCTCTCTCTCCGAGAAACTCTCTCTCTCGCCTATTTCGCTCTTCTAGAGATAGGGAGAGAGAGCAAGAGAGAGGTAGCAGAAAGAGAGAGACAGAAAGAGAGCGAGAGAGAAAGGGAGGGGGTCTTGTCACTTTGCAGTATAGGACAAAGACAAGGTCAGTTAGTTAAAGCATACACAGTACTTCATCTTTTCTCATCGAATTTAGAGAAGATGGAAAATACTGGTGAAGTTACAACACACACAGGTGTATGCATTCATAAACACGCACATACACACACACACAGATAGACACACACACACACACACACACATCACCTAGTTATGTCAATGGAAGGCCTTCTCAGTGTAATGGATGGGTATAATGATAGTCTATAATGAAATACATTATTTCAGGAGAGAGGACAACGGTTGACAGTCCAGGCTTGGCTTTTTGCAAGTTGCAAGACTTTCTGCAAGTTCAACCAACTAGTCATGTTGATGCAACATTACATTTATAACATTACATTATATTTTAATGTTACATTGATTACATTTAAATTACATGACATTGATAAAGGAGTTTGAAATAATTAGGAAATATGTTGACTCAACCATTTAAAGCCCAGAATGTTGGGGGTTTGGAGTGAGTGTGCATTGTGGTGAAAGGATAGGGAGGGGCCATGTTCCCTCTAAGCTACGCTCGTGTGCGGGCACAGCTTCACAGGGACTGCCGCACAGAATAAATATCAAGCCGCGCAGAGAAGCACGAAGTTGTAGAGATTTCCCCGTTAGTTAACACTAGCAATGTTTCCCTTTACTGTGGGAATTATAATCGAATCAATGCAATATTAGCCACTTTCAATGGAACATACCGAAACAAAACAAATTATGCACGCCTTAGTATGCAAAACTAACTATGCAAAATATTTTGCTGTAGGCAGAACGCATCGGAATAGGATTCTATTGCCCGTTCTCTACACAGACTGGTGTGCCATAACCAATCAGAGCTGCAGTAGGCCTATATGCAAATAGACCATTGCCATATATGGATTTGTACCATTCACTTTGAACTGGACTGTTTTACAACATGAGCGGTTGCGATTATTATGCGCTTCTTTTGAGATCAAAGCGAAAGCTGCATTTAGCCACGTGTGCACATTTGTTCATTTTCTTTGCTAGTTAATGAGTTATTAGCCCAGTTTGAGCTAATTTGTAGTTAGCAATGCGGGAGTGATTGCTTCCTACAAGAGCACAAAACGTGTATTTCTAGCCATCTTTGAAAAGCGAGTCAGGTAAAGAGCTTTTTTTAATGTCTTAAAGGGGCAGTGTTGTATTTTTAGACAGGCTTGAATAAACTAAGTAGCCAATAGGCAGAGGGTAGCATAATTTGTCTGATTCTCTGTAATAATGGTATGGGAATAATAATACATTTTATTTTGAAAAGTGGTTTCTTGCATCAAACAACAAAACAATGTGTTCAGTCACCTCCTTGTCTGAAGGACAAGTGGATAAACAGGTTAATGTCAAGCCCTGCATGTTTTTTTCTAAAGTCTCATGGAATGTAGGCCTACATTGAACACCACACATTGGCTGCTACTGTAGGCTGAATGATTTAACCACTATTTCCATGTTAAAATGTTATGTGATGCATTTTCTCCATAGTTTTTTATGGTAGGCCACTCTAGTAGGCCTACATTATGATCAAATAGCCACAGTAGCCTACTTGGCCACAGTTAAAACAGTAAATTAAAGTGGGTACAGCCTCAGTGCTCACAGTAAACGTGCGCCGGAAGTTGCACAGAAATTCACAAGGTTCAAGTTTGCGCTCAGCAAAACTTCAGTGACTTCGTTCAGTGACGAAAAATATTAGAGGAAACATTGGGGAGGGGTTAGGGATAATAGCAAAGATGGTGGATAAATGAAGATAGTTCACTCAGGCCGTTTACCATTGAAATGAATGGTCAGTTCAGGTCTGCTTAACGAGGTGGCTCTCCCATAGACACCAATGTTGGGTCTGGTCTGCTTAGTTCATTGAATGTATATGAACAACAAAAAAAACTGAGAGTGGGATGTCTCACTTCCTCTTCCATCTCTGATAATAGGTTAGGAGTGAGAGGTTAGGGAGTGATTGGTTAGAGGTGAGATGTTGGGGTGAGATGTCAGGTAATAGGTTAGGGGTGAGTAAATTGTGGGACATTTGATCCAACTCACTCTCAGTCTCTGGGACAAACTCCTCCTCAATGATTGGTTGTGTTTCCAGTCCCTCCCATACACTCTCCACCTATAGCAGACAAGAACAGGGGCCAAGTCAGAGAGGGAAGAAGACAGGGTGCAAAAAGGAAAGAAGTGGGAAAAAAAATGCTCAGTTTTAACTGTTATTGGTAGCATTTGTATATCAAAACACATTGCTTTAAAAAGTTTAGTGAGAAAACATTTGAAATCTACTATTTGTATCTATGAACTCAAGTGTGTGTGTAAGCAGTGTACCTCATGAATGGGGGACTCAGTGATGCTTCCGAAGCTAGAGCGACTCATCTGTGCCAGCGACGTCCCGTAACGCAGGGCCTCATACACAGGGTCAACTCCCCCTTTATCAGACTCTAGAAACACACACACACACACACAGAGCAAAAACAACGTGTCATACTACAGATCAGATCTTGGAATGAACAAAAGGTCTATGTATCTGTGGCATCAACACTGATCACTCAAGCAACACACACACACGCACGCACACACACACACACTCACCTTGCGATGGTAGAGCTTCCTTGACCACCCCTAACATATCGTTAGTCAAGAGAGGGGAGCTGAAGTTTCGTTTAAAGGCCCCCGTCTAGCAGGCGAGATAGAGAGAAGGAGAGGGGGATGAGAAAGAGACAGAGAGGAGATACATAACTGTCCCTATCAGCTGAATGTTATTTGAGCAGCTAAAAGCGGACAAACACAAAGGTCAGAGACTTTCCCACCGTAAACGGATAGTCTTGTGGCTTACAAAGGAAGCTCAAAATGTATGTGTGTGTGCATGTGTGCGTGTGTGTGTGTGTGTGACTGTGTGTGCGTACGTGTGTGTAGAGGGGATGCTGACTGTGTGTGATAGTCCTTCTGCAGACTGTGGCTTGTGGGTCCCTATGAGTTGAACACGGAGACAGGTGGAACTCAATTCTTAGCCTTATGCATTTGCAATGAACTATACCTGCACTCTCTTATCATGTCTATGTGTACAGCATTGTTCACATGACAGCTAGACAAGCACAACAAAGCCTCAGCATTGTCGTTTGACAGAAAACCAACATTCGCCACAGTAATTCCCAAGCCGTTGGGATTAAAATAGTCCACGGACGTGTGAGACGATGAATCACGGATTCTGATTTAGGAATAGGAACGGAATACAACTCAAAGGTCGATCTGAGCTATTGAAAGCTTTGTGTTTGACAGAGGGAGCAGTGTTGTGTCGTTGTTGTTTCCTGTACGATCCCGTCCTAGGTGCAGCATAGCTCTACTTTCATCTTTGCTGCATCATGGCGTAAATTATATCCATATACAGTGCATTCGGAAAGTATTCAGACCCCTTGACCTTTTTCACATTTTGTTAAATTGTCCCCCCCCCCCATCAATCTAAAAAAATAAATAAAAAATCTACACATATTACCTCATAATGACAAAGCAAAAACAGGTTTTTAGAAAAAATGGAAATATTACATTTACATAAGTATTCAGACCCTTTACTTAGTACTTTGTTGAAGCACCTTTGGCAGCTATTACAGCCTCAAGTTTTCTTGGGTATTACGCTACAAGCTTGGCACACCTGTATTTGGTGTGTTTCTCCCATTCTTCTCTGCAGTTCCTCTCAAGCTCTGTCAGGTTGGATGGGTAGTGTCGCTGCACAGCTATTTTCAGGTCTCTACAGAGATGTTCAATTAAGTCCAGGCTCTGGCTGGGCCACTCAAGGACATTCAGTGAATTGTCCCAAAACCACTCCTGCGTTGTCTTGGCTGTGTGCTTAGGGTTGTTTTCCTGTTGGAAGGTGAACTTTCTCCCCAGTCTGAGGTCCTGAGCGCTCTAGAGCAGGTTTTCATCAAGGATCTGTTTGTACTTTGCTCCATTCATCTTTCCCTCGATCCTGACTAGTCTGCCAGTGCCTGCCGCTGAAAAACATCCCCACAGCATGATGCTGCCACCACCGTGCTTCACCGTAGGGATGGTGCCAGGTTTCCTCCAGACCTGACACTTGGCATTCAGGCCAAAGAGTTCAATCTTGGTTTCATCAGACCATAGAATCTTGTTTCTCATGGTCTGAGAGTCCTTTAGGTGCCTTTTGGCAAACTCCAAGAGGCTGTCGTGTGCCTTTTACTGAGGAGTGGCTTCCGTCTGGCCACTCTACCATAAAGGCCTGACTGGTGGTGCTGCAGAGATGGTTGTCCTTCTGGGAGGTTCTCCCATCTCCACAGAGGAACTCTGGAGCTCTGTCAGAGTGACCATCGGGTTCTTGGTCACCTCCCTGACCAAGGCCCTTCTCCCTCGATTGCTCAGTTTGGCTGGGGGCGGCCAGCTCAGGACCTTATATAGACAGGTGTGTGCCTTTCCAAATCATGTCCAATCCATTGAATTTAGCACAAGTGAACTCCATTCAAGTTGTAGAAACATCTCAAGGATGATCAATGGAAACATGATGCACCTGAGCTCAATTTCAATTCTCATAGCAAAGGGTCTGAATACTTATTGTAAATAAGGTATTTCTGTTTTTTATTTTTAATACATTTGCAAAGATTCCACAAACCTGTGATTGATGAAGAAAGCAAAGTAATTTAATCCATTTTAGAATAAGGCTGTAACGTAACAAAATGTGGAAAATGGGAAGGGGTCTGAATACTTTCCGAATACACTGTATCAATAGCTGTCATCAGTGGTTAGATGAGAGCTTATACATCGAGGAGAAGATAAGGTGTCAGGGCCATGCTAATGTGATAAGCAACCTTACCCAATACTTGTGTTAGCTTCCGAGGTAATGCCTTGGCTTTAGTTCAGTGGGCTAACACAGTCTTTTGATGAGAACTGATAACCGAAAGCATAAGATAGGACTGGGCAGTGTCATCGACAAAATATTCTCAACCATGCTCATGTAAGGTGAACCATGAACCGTGATGAGTAACCTTACCCAAGGCGGGAAGACTTGCGTTAGCTCCCTGAGCTAATGCCTTGGCTTTAGTTTGGCGTGCTAACATGGTCTTGTGGCAATAACTGGTAGATCATTCTCGCTTCTTCCAAATATAGCTTTTTGGGAGCATAAATCATAAATCATTATGTGGTCAGGGTATCCTCTCTGCATTTGATTGGATTTGTCTTATTTCTCACCAAGCACCTGATATATTATAACAGATGTGTGAGCGCCACTGTGAGATTTTGATAAATGAGACGAGAGGTTCCTATTGGCTGTCAACGATGGCCCAAGGCACTCAGCAGGGCATGTGGGGAATTGGAGGGGTGACTTTCTACTTTCTCTGGAGTGATCTAAAGTCAATTTAACGCTTATTGCTTCTCTTATTGCTTATCTTGGGGCCCTCCTCATCCCTGTCCAAATTACAGCTTCACCTCTGATAGGGTCAAACGATGATGAGAAAGAGAGGGAGAGAGAGAGAGAGAGAGAGAGAGAGAGAGAGAGAGAGAGAGAGAGAGAGAGAGAGAGAGAGAGAGAGAGAGAGAGAGAGAGAGAGAGAGAGAGAGAGAGAGAGAGAGAGAGAGAGAGAGAGAGAGAGAGAGAGAACGAGAAAGCACTAGAGAGAATAGAACACTAAACTAGTAGTGTTTACAAAACTCTTGTTAGTTAATCTTGGCCAACTACTATTTTGTATTATTTGGGGGTGAAGCTGAGCGAGGTGGAATTACGAACCAAACTTCCCTAATCATCCCTTATCCCCATCCCAATCGGGCCTTCATTATAATCCTTGGTCTAGGCTGGGCATTGGGCTAGATTACTAATGCACCTTGGAAGATAATCCCACTGGCTGGATTCAATGTGGCTCCCAGATGTCCAACTGATTAAGATTTCTGGACACTTTTGGACAAACACACAACTGCCCCTCTCTTTACCTCAAACGAGACTGGTGTCCAATCCTGTATTGACACTCTCACTCCTAACTCCTAGCCCCTAACTCCTAGCCCCTAACTCATAGGCCCTAGGCATTGTGTAGATCAGAGAGGATTGGATAGGTGTAAGCAATATGGTGGACATTTTCACCCAGCCTATCTGAAGGCAAGGTTGATTACCAGTATAACCATATTTTCCAAACCCTCGCTTTGCTTTTCATAGTGTTTGGTCCTTGGGTTTTTTAAACAAATTGTAATTTACTCTACAAAAGAAAAACGTTGACAACGTCACTAAATTAAATGAATTAAATGTTTAAAAATTAATTCAAATTCAAATCCCACTCCACAGGGGCCACATTTAATTAGCATACAAAGTGACACCAAAAGTCATTACAAACTAATCAAGGGGGGGAAGCCCAACACGAGTCTAAGCTTATGTACGAGCTACTGTAGCATGTTGCTGCCGTCTCTCCTCCAGTCGTCCAATATTCCTAATCCCGGTTTTGATGACTATGCAGCAGACACAATTTTTCCTACTGCTGGCCATGTCGTGTCCCGCGGGAACCGTGAGCGCCTCAAACACACCGCATTTCACACTGAATTAGCCACAGCGCATGGTGCAGGGAGATGTTGATTTTTCTGACTGACTTGAGGAAAATCGGATCCATGCATGAAGAGGGTGAGGAGGGGGAGTGACAGGGGGATGGATGGGGGTAAAAACAGGATAACGCTATCTGCCTCAGCCCTAACCTTGGCTTTTGTTCCACATATAGAAATTCAGAATCGTTGCGGATCATTTAATTAAGGCTCTCACTCTTCTTCTCTCTTTTCTTTGTCGGGTTGTCCCCTCTTTTCTTTTTTTTAGCTCCTCTAGCGGAAAAACGTTTGTCCTCTTTTAACAAGATTGGGACTTTGAGACTAAATGCAGCCCCCCGCAAGCCCACCTTGGTCTTAGTGATGGTATTGGGTCCACCATGGCCCCCCAAAATAATATTTAGACCGTAATTGTTGAGGATCGGAAAGCGGTAGATATCTAACTCTAGATCAGTTCACTACTTAGGTTATAATGGTTGAGGACAAGACAGCTGTGGGGAAATCTGAATCTAGGACAGTTGACTCACCTTTCCTGTGCAGGGCTGTTGGGACAGCTCAGAGGAGCACCAGAGGTGGGCACCCAGCTTACAGGCTTTACAGCGTAGACCCTGCTTGGAGTTCCCTGCACAGATGGAAAGCCAGGTTACTACAGTACTGTACTTTACTGTACTATACTGTACTGTACATACCACACAGGACAGTAGCCTCAGCTCACACACTACAATCCATTCATCAATCAACAAAATAAATAAAATCAATCAATCAACTAGGACTAGGTTATAAAATGTCAAAGTGAGACCCTTTTGATGAGAGATGTTATTGGCAACGTGTGTATGGACAGTGTGATTATCAGCCACATCTACTTCACACTCGCCCTCAATCAAAATCCTAACTTGCCATTTGGCCACAAGAGCTCAAACTTTCATGGAAACATTGCACTGATTGTTAGATTGTGTTGGATGTGCATACTGTCTCTCAGTAGTCAGTAGTCTGCCCTAAGAGAATAGCTTTGATGTGACATGATCTACCAGAAGATTATTTGTATTTCATGTCACTGCATTGTATTAAGGGAATACTGGACCTGAATTTACCTACCCTGGATCACGTGTTTGCATTGCTGGCAGCAGGTGGGCCGGCGGAAGACGTGCTCCTGGAAACAGTGGGTCTTCACTAGCCGGGCCTGGAGCTGGCCCTGGAGCTGGCCCTGGAGCTGGGCTTTGGAGGTCAGGGAGAGGGAGGGACTGAGGGAGGGCGAGTGGGACGAAAGCGAGGGGTTGGGGCTGAGCAACAGGGAGAGGGAGGGTGAGCGCTCGCAGGTCAGGGGCGTCTCCCCGAAGGGTGGTGGCGAGGAGGGCAGCGGAGGCTCGTGGATGATCCCAGAGGGCAGGCGGACTTCCCCGTTGCTGGGGCGCTGGAAGAAGTTGTCCACACTCTTGCTGCGCATCAGTGACTTGAAGGACAAGGAGCGCTTTAGTCGCTGAAGCTGTGGAAAGAGAGGAGTGGAGACATTAGGTTAGCATGGATAGACAAGAGCTGGGGGATGACTAAATCACTGACACTGGTCCTTCAGAATAGCAGGGTGCACTCATTAAGGGCTGAATCGTAACTTGAGATCTGTGTACGCATCTAGCAATTCCAGAATTCGAACACAATTTGACAAAGCACTATAACTTCACTGTCTCCATGTAACGATAACGAAGGTGGTTTGGTGAACCACTCTCGAGTAATGAGTAACCTTGCCAGAGACCTGAAGACTCGTGTTAACTTCCCGAGCTAATGCCTATGAGTTTAAAGCTCAGCAGGCTAACCTAGTCTTGTGGCACGAGACCTGGGTTTGACTGCAGTCACACATCTACACAACAAGATCCCTGGTCATGACCTGTGTTCAACCCACTGGATCAAAGACATTCATTCCTCCATTCATCCATCCATCCATTCATTCATTCATTCATTCATTCATTCGTTCAGTGACGATGAAAACAAAACGACCACAGATTTTGCTATCGGACTTTGAAGGACAAAATACAAATGTCTAAATGATGTTATCATTTTAACAGCAGCTAGCAACAGCTCTTCTGACTTGAATAAGGTGACAAGAGTGAAAAGGGTGCTGGGACGTTAAGTGTTTTTAGCCTGAGGCTGAGAAGCGAGACAGAGACCCCACAGTACCCTCTGACTGCCCTTGTCCTACAACACCACACTGGCTTATTTGGATCACAATTATAGCAGATCCAGGGAACTCAAGTCAATACCCCTTAAAATTCAGATTTAATTTGTTTATTGACCGGTCTGCTCCTCCGTACTGTGATGTATTGATGCACAACAAAGAACAAACACTAGGTTGATATTTTACTCCCCCGCCTCACTTTCAGTGGACTTGCCCAGGCATCCTGGCCGCAATATTAGGATGCTGCTAATGACATAAGATTATGGGAAGTGGAAGGCAATGAGGTCCTATATATGGTATAATAATAATAAGCTGCTGATTCAATAGAATGGCCTACGGAATGAGAGAGCACATGTGCAGGCACGGACACACACACGTTTGTTTTACTACCCTTGTGGGGACCACACTATTGATTCCCATTCAAAATCCTATATTCCCTAACCCCTAACCCTAATCCTAAACTTAACCCTAACCCCTTAACTTAACCCTAACCTTAACCCCAAACCCCTAACCCTAAACCTAACTCCTAACCAAGGGTTCTCCAACCCTGTTCCTGGAGAGCTACCCTCCTGTAGGTTTTCCCTCCAACCTCAATTGTAACTAACCTGATTCAGTTTATCAACCAGCTAATTATTAGAATCAGGTGCGCTAGATTAGAATTGGAGCGAAAACCTACAGGACGGTAACGTTCCAGGAACAGGGTTGGAGAACCCTGTCCTAACCATAACCCTAACCCTGAACCTAACCCCTAACTCTAACCCTAACTCTAATTCTAACCCTAAACTTAATTGTAACCCTAAACCTAACCCCTAAGCCTAAAATAGCCTTTTTCCTTGTGGGTATCAGCGAAATGTCCCCACTTGTCCAAATTGTCCTTGTTTGTATATATTTTTTATATAGTAAAACCAAAAACACACACACGCAGCGATAGTCACAAAGATTGAGGCGAAACTGTTGAGTATACAGGAAGAAGGCTCTTAGCTATTAGCTGCCTATCTGACTAGTATGGCCTTTTTGTATGAGTTTTAGTGCAGTACAATTGTGTGTTAAGTCTACGCTTTACAGCTTGTTTGTGTCTGTCTGTGTTGGTTTTGTCTGTGGTGTATAGCTGTTTTGTATATGCTTTAGTGTTTATTTTGTCTACAGGTTACAGCTTGTTTGTGTCTGTTTGCAACTGCACTGCAGTAGCCTGAAGATTAAAAAAAAATATGGCACAACTGTGTGTGTGTATATCATTATCAAGGCCTTGTTGGTGTGTGTGTGTGTGTGTGCATGCGTGCATGCATGCATTCGTGTCTCCGTATGTGTGTGTCACTGAGTGTTTGTAGCCTTCACATCATTTCCCTCTCCATCTGCGAAAGCTTATTGGAGCCTGTGCTCTCTCTGAGAAACGGCCATCAATAACGTTGAGTGGGTTCCTCTTTTCCTCCCTTAAGCCATGGCTCCACTGACGCCAATTACCTTGAGTGATGAAATAAGCGCACTCTCTGTTGACCCATTAGCGAGCGCCTCTTGCAAGTGTTTTTCTACCCAGAGCCGCATCCAGGCTCATTTTTAATGGACTTTTATAGGGTTTACTGGTGGATCATTCAAATAGCCTATTTGATTTCTTCTCTTTCCACCACATTGTTTACACATTTGACCTTGTTTTTGTATTTAATGTACAGGTAACTGCCAAAATAATAGAAACACTAGTAAATTAGGGGAAAAAAAGTATATTGAAAGCAGGTGCTTCCAGATAGGTATGGTTCCTGAGTTAATTAAGCAATTATTTAAGGCCATTATTTTGGCTACGATGGCTATGTCCACATCAAATGACAATGCCCCCATCCACAGGGCACGAATGGTCACTGAATGATTTGATGAGAATGAAAACGATGTAAACCATATGCAATGGCCGTCTCAGTCACCAGTCTCGGATCTCAATCTCAGTTCATGTTAGATATTGAAACACTTAAAAGCCTTCTTAAAGACAACTTCTTCTGTGAAATCTGTAAGATATTATATTAATAATATTAATTATTATATCATTTACAAATATATTTTGCTACACCTATTTCAAAGCTGGAGAGTAAACCCTGTAAGTTTCATCAAATTCAATAGCGTGTCAAATTAATGTCCTGACTTGTGACTTGGAATACTGTTGAGGGAGATTTTTTAGTGGACTATGAGATAAATCTGAGTTAATCACGAACATATACACGAACATATACAGTGAGGGAAAAAAGTATTTGATCCCCTGCTGATTTTGTATGCTTGGCCACTGACAAAGACATGATCAGTCTATCATTTTAATCATCACTATACTTTATTAAAAATCAAAGTTCTTCCAGAGTTTTTGTAGAATTGAGATTGACTTTATTTACAATTTCAATAAAGCCAGGCTAGTCTGCAGATTAGCCCCCCTCTCTCTTTCTGTCTCCCTCTATATAGTCTCCTTCACACCCACATCCTATCTTAAAATCCCTCCCTCTTCAGTTTCCCGCTCTTTATCGCTCCGCCCACTTCCTTTGTCTATGATGGCGGCTAAATCCGACTTTCATTCAGTTCAGAATCAATAGTAATACAATCAATCCCTTATCTTGCAAAAACACTCATGTTTAGTTTAAACTCTGTTCAACCCCGGCTCTCCCTCCACTTTGTTTGAGGAGAGAGGCAAAAGGCCACAGTCTGGTTTCAGTCTCTGATAAGGTAGGACAGCCATGGATTTAAGTAAGAGCAAGCACTTTGACCCTAGGTCAGATTCCCTCTTCACCCACACACAGTGAAATGACCCAATTAAGTTCCTGCCTAGCAACAGAGAATTCTAACTACAGTGAGGGAAAAAAGTATTTGATCCCCTGCTGATTTTGTACGTTTGCCCACTGACAAAGACATGATCAGTCTAGGTTTATTTGAACAGTGAGAGACAGAATAACAACAAAAAAATCCAGAAAAACGCATGTCAAAAATGTTATGAATTGATTTGCATTTTAATGAGGGAAATAAGTATTTGACCCCCTCTCAATCAGTGTCACAATCGTCGGAGGAAGTGGACCAATGCGCAGCGTGATAAGTGAACATACTTATTTATTGAACGAACAAAACAACAAACGATACGAAACGTGAAGTCCTTGGTTACTGTCACGATCGTCTAGAACAGGAGACCAAGGCGCAGCGTTGCGAGTGAACATATTATATTTATTAAATGCTCACAAGAACAAAAACAATAAACAACGAAAGCGTGACGTCCAGTGTACAACACGAACACACACGAACAAAATCCCACAACCCGAAAGAAAAACAGATAGATTAAATATGGCTCCCAATCAGAGACAAACAGCCGACAGCTGACACTCGTTTGCCTCTGATTGGGAGTCACACCGGCAAACATAGAAAATAAACCACCTAGAACACCCACCAGAGAAACAGAAAACATAGAATGAACACACCCTGGCTCAACATATTGAGTCCCCGAGCCAGGGTGTGACAGTACCCCCCCCCTAAAGGCGCGGACTGCGACTGCGCCTAAATACGAGCGAAAACAGGGGAGGGCTGGGTGGGCATTCCTCGGCGGCGGCTCCGGCTCTGGGCTAGATCCCCACTTCCTCTCCAACCCCCCAAAGTACCCCTGGTCCTGTCTAGCCCCGCTGGCCGGAGCCGGACTGACGACACGCGCCCCTGGCCTGGTGCGTGGAACAGGAACGGATCGGACCGGGCTGACGATACACACCCCTGGCTTGGTGCGTGGAGCAGGAATGGACCGGAATGGGCTGGCGACGCGCACCACAGACTTGGTGCGGAGAGCAGGAACGAGCCGGACAGGGCTGACGACTCGCATCCCTGGCTTGGTGCGAGTAGCAGGAACGGGCTGGACCAGGCTGACGACTCGTACCCCTGGCTTGGTGCGAGTAGCAGGAACGGGCTGAACCAGGCTGACGACTCGCACCCCTGGCTTGATGCGAGTGGCAGGAACAGGCCGGGTCGGGCTGGCGACGCACACCGTAGGCTCTGTGCGTGGAGCAGGAACAGGCCGGGCTGGGCTGGCGACGCACACCGTAGGCTTTGTGCGTAGAGCAAGGACAGGCAGGGCTGGGCTGGCGACGCGCACCACAGACTCGGTGCGGATCGCAGGAACGGGCCGGGCTGGGCTGTCGACGCACACCGTAGGTTTGGTGCGGGGAGCAGGAATAGACCGGACCGTACTGGGCACACACACCACTGGCTCCACACCGGGATCTGGAACGGGCCGGACCGGACTGGCAACACCCGCCAGTACCTCTCGCCGTGCCTCTACACCTTCCATCTCCTCTTCTACCAGTAGCCCCCGTAACCTGGCGGCCTCCTCTGCAACCCCGCTGGACCGCTCCATAGCGGCCTCCTGCTGCCCCGATG